AGTAGCTAAGAAAAGGTTGATCAATCCTGAAGTTCAGTCACCATACCTCAACTTGGCAGCAAGATCCCCCAAGGACAGAGGATATATTGTAAACCTGTCCTGTTAATCAAAACATTTTTGTGCCTTCAAAGGCTTAAGTTATCTGTGGTGTGTTCGGAGTTAGGCTATATGGCCGTTTTTGTTGTATGTTTATGTGGAGATTGAATATAACTGTGACCATGTGCTCAGGGCCTCCTCTAACATACCCACTGGGTGGGCAAATGCCCACCCAGTCACCACAATTGCCCACCCAGTGGCGTCGATTTGCCCACCCAGAAGTGAGAAGCAAATGCAAAAATTCTGGTCCGGCCGGACGTCCGGTACTACCTTTCTGGTCTTAAGCAAACTGGAGGCTGTTTGAAGGTCAAAAAAAAAAGTTTTCTGGTTGCCCGATATTCAGGGGCGTAGTCAGAATTTCCTCAAGGAGGGGGCCAAACGCACAGGGGCCCAAAATAACCCCCTAAAAATCCAAAAAGCCATCTGGTTGGATCCAATATTTTTTTTGGAGGGGGCCCAAATAAATAGAAAAATATTTATTAACAAAAAATATTAGAACTGAGGGGGTAAGCAGTCCATGGGCCCTGTTAGATAGGCCCACGAATAGCTTCATAGAGTCGCCAGTCGGTTTTGAGGGCGGTCTGAGGGCCCGTAGGTCGGATAAGGGTTCTTCAGACCGTCACAGGCCCCTACAGCGCATGAGAGCCTCGTAAGCCGTCTGAGGGTCATATAAGCCGCCTAAGGGCCACTAAGACCGACAAAAGCCCTCCTTGCACTTGCAGATGCCCAGTCATGCCGACGGAGGGCTCTCTCAGACAAACTAAGGACCCGTTCAGGTCATTTGAGTGCCTCCTCAAACCGATAGGGGCCCCTCAGATCGACAATGGATCCGATCCGAGCTCCCTCAAACCGATATAGGGTCAGACCAACAGTCGGAACGCATTGATTCTGTTTACACACCGTTGGACCCAAGTTGGACCCATCCCATCCAACTGGCCCCCTGGTTTCAATAGGGCCCCAAGGCTCTAAAATTGGGGCTCTCTTGGCCAAAGTATAACTACTCAGCTGTGTCAAAGGATCTGCTGCAGGGGCCTTTGCGTCACCAAGGGCCCACTGTGTCAGCCAGGGCCCCTATAGAATAAGGACCCCTGGCTTCCAGGGGGGGGGCATGGTCCCTTTGGCCCCCTCCTTGGCTATGCCACTGCAGGTGACAAGCGTTCTTCCAGGCGACCAGGGGGCAGGGGCCAGGCGACCAGGCCCCCAGGCGACTAGCCCCCAAGCGACCGGGGCCCTCTAGGCGACCAGGGGCCCCAGGAAACCGGGGGTCATCGGATGAGTGCAGGGGCCCATTGGGTCATCAGAGGGCCACAGAAATGAAACTTCGATATCAATTTTCTTCCGAGTAAAAGACGTTTTATCCAGTGTTTGAAAAAAAATATCCCGGGGCCTGAGGGGCTCCCCCATGGCGCGTTTTGCGCTCAAGGGAGGGGGCCATTGCCCCCGTGGCCCCTCCCCCTTGGCTACGCCCCTGCCGATATTGTTATTCATGGACAAAGCCAGCTAAATCCCTAAATACGGCTGAGCTAAACAAATAAGCAAGAATTATTACCGGTTCGGGTAGCCTTTACTACAATGTATTATGTTAGTTAGCCCTCGCCCGGTGAGGGGGGTTGATGCACCCCCCTAAGGTTTTTCACAAATAACGTAAAAACGGCGGCGCTCAAATTTAGCATACCCTCTGGGCCTCTGGGGCAACCTTTTGGCACTTGTCCTAAAAATTTCAGGTCTCTAGTCTTTTCAGGTCAGGTCACCAGGTCCCAAACCCCGTACAAGGTCAGGGGAAAATTGGACTATGTAGTTTAGCGGCAACCGAATGCCAGAGTTTTTCGTTGATAGCGTGAGTTCTATAGCACGTAGCGCTACCAAATTTAACCCTCGCATGTGTAGGGGGGTCGGATGGACCCCCCATGGTTTTTCGCGAATAACTCGCGTAAAAAGCGGCCGATCGCAATGAAACTTTCAGTACCCTCGCATTGATCAATTTTACACCTACCCTGAAAATTTCATGACCCTGACCCAAATGACCTTTGACCTGTGACCTCTTTTCCGAGACCATGTTTGGCCGGAATCGCGATTCCGCGTATGTCGGCTCGCATTAGCCGCGCGTTTGCAAGCTTTTCGTGGTTTCAAACGTTCAAACATATGATTTGATGTTGCTCCCATGCATTAGGGTGGGTGTCAAGGTCACCTGAAGGTCAGGTCAGGTCATTGACCTTTGGTGACCTCGGGTGACCTCGGTTCACTTTTTCGAGTTTTACATGTTTCTAGGCTAGTTTGTGGAGCTGAATTCCAATTTAGCAACCATTTGAACATTTACGAAGTAGTTTTGGTGCCTTCGTAACATGTTACGAAGCTGTCAGAGGCGGTTGACAGGTACTACGAACACCCGTCACAACCCCTACTGGTTGACCTGACCTGACCTGACCCGACCTGGTCTAAATGCTTAAAGACATCATCTGTGATCAAAACTAACACGATATTCGTGATCAGCACCCCGAAAAACCCCTTAGCAGCCACACTTTACGACTTTCTAATAGGTCCCGATTTTCCCGACTTTGGGTCATTGACCTGACCTGGAAGGTCAACCAATGACTTAGGACCTTAAAATTAGGTATCATCGGCTTCCTCTCGTCACGGGCAACACGCTCGTTTTTTTCCGCGAAGCTCTAGCTTGATCAGGGGCCAAACGGCAAGGGGGGGGGGGTCCAACCGACCCCCCCCCCCCCCTACACATTAGAAGCTGGCAAACGCCGCACACATGCGAGGGTTAAGACACGACTTGGAGCATCTGTTTGTCACTTGGCCTTGGAGTTTTAGGTTCTAGTGACCCGAGGCCAGGTCACAAGGTCACAAAAACTGGTACATTGTCAAAATAGCAAGAATACCGAATAAGAATACCTACCTACCACGCAGTTTGCGGAGGGCTGTACATGTAACTCTGGAACGAATCGCTCGAGCATCGCTAACCATAAAACATACGACAAAAGTTAACTTTGCAAACTATCATCTTATTTCCAATAACGGCACTGCTTATTTCGCCTCACCCCCGCCCCCCCCCCCCCCCGCGGTAACAGGTTTTGAAATTGGTTGAACCTCAAAATAGTGGCTGGATTCGCCCTTGGGCAGGGGAGTAGCGAAAATTCTGCCCACCCAGTGAAAAATCCTTAGAGGAGGCCCTGCATGTGCTTGTTTGTATACTTACGGTCAGACAGGGAACAGCACATTCACATAACATACTCACCTAGCACCTAACTCATAGCTGTACCCTGCAGGATCTGTACTTGTTCATGTCTCGAGCATTAACAAAGCACTAAAGTAGCTTAGTAATCATTTCCCACATTTTCTGAGCATCTAACATGACATACAGCAGTGCAGAGCAGCTTCAGAGAAGAAACACTTTAAATGCACAGACTCACACCAGCCACCCAATGAGCCAGTTCCTCAGTTGACTGTTTCCCTGGACACAGCTTGGCAATGTGAGCTAACTTTTGGCAAGTTGAAGGTTAGCAGGTAAGATTGAGTTAGGGTGAGTACCTACCCATAACTGGGTGCTACTGCCATGCAGGTCTTGGGTAGGCTGCAAATATGTGTGATGATTGAGGTTAAGTCATCTGTCAGGTTAGTCAGGTTCAGGTATGTTCATTGCTCAGGTCACATTTTTATGGACATTTGGCAAATTAAAAAACTAACAATCTGATCTAAGCTAACCCGACTAAACATACACAACTACTGACTATAGGAACTGAGCACCTACCTACTTGTGCCTACATCTCATACCATGCCAAAGTAGAGTTCCTTGGTGGAAGATTACCCTCAGTACTTTTTATCCCAGCCCTGTGAAGAAAACTAATACTTCTAAGCTCTGAGTCACTGCTGGCCATCCACAGGAAGAAACGCTGAGACTGGGAGTTTTGCCATTGTATATTGGACCAATAATGACTATCACAAATGACTATGAACACATAATATGATCACATCATTGCATGGATTGTCACATTGACAATTTTACTACAATCCTTTTTTCAAGAAATACAGTGATGGTGATTAACATCAAAATCAACATAAAGTGGATTTAGTGATCCAAGCTTTCTCCTCCAATAGCAATGGAATGATCACATGTTTCATTCGCCAGACACTGAGTACCTGATGCACATTACAATCTGCATAGCTTCTAAGCATAGTAAAACTGCCCAAGTCCATTCATTCTAGATTTTAACTTGATAGTTCGCACTAATTTATCTTGCTGTTGTAAGTTATCATTCAATATTCATACCAATACATCAATATGCGCTCATCAGTAAACATTTTCAGGCATGATCCTGCTCAGAGTGCTCTTCAGTATTGCTCCAAGGTCTGCAATATTATAGCTTGTTTTTGGACAATAAGCTCTTTTAATTTTACTTTTTCTTGCTGATATATGAGCCCGATCAACTTGCGTTTATCAACCAAAATTTCATAACTTGTTCAACTTGATATTGATATTGCTCAGTAGTCAGGACCTCTGTCAGCCTCCTGGATACTTCAGATTGTTTTCAGTCAACATGCTTCTTAAATATGATATGAGGATTCAAAACATCCAACAAAACGGCGTACAAGAGCAAGAAAACCACCAGATAAACTAAAAAATGGCCTTGGAACAGAGCCAAGTGGTGCTCCATTTGTTTGTTTACAATGATTGTAGTGCTGATGTATTTTTAGGACTCTGAACGTCGGCTTATAAAAAATGAAACGTTTTTACAGAAGTTGTAAGGCAAGTAATATTTATCTGAAAGAACTAAAATATTCAAAAGCCAAACACTATGAAATACATGAATCGGAACGAAAAAGTAACCCAAAAATCCAGCCTAATCACCGGCTCCTAAAACTGCAACACAATCAGCACTTTTCCCCGCAACTCGTTGTCCAGACGTAAATATGCTCCGGCGCCCTGTTTTCACCGGCGTCCCAAGCAAGCGCATCAAGCGCCCGACGCGCCGCGATTTGTGATAAGCAAAAAAAAACAGGTATAAACAGGGATATAAGAGCCAAACTTGATGTGAAAATTATCATTAACATACCAAAAATTGCTTTGCTTCTTTTAGTATGCCTAAGAGAAATAAAATAGACAAGAGTATGACAAAATGGCCATCAATATTCAGGTCAAGGGCCCGCTCTGTCAGTTTGCGGTAATGGCAGACAATGCTGTAGTTTGTAGATATACATTTGTAAAGAATGTTTGTGTTTATGTATATTTGAGATATCAATGGTGATATACCACCATAGACTAGGAATAATTTGAGCACTGTATCTTCATAAAAAATAGGGAACTCAAACTTAGTCCCAGAATCAGTAGTGGCAGAACCCTTTTAATTAAAGAGACCCTCCCACCTTCAAAAAAGTTAATGAATTGTCATGAAATTGATGTCGCTTGGTTCAGAAAGAGCGAAAACGAATATCTGCCAAATTTTACCGAAAAATAATCACTGGTTTTCAAGATAATACTTTTACTTTTGTTTACTCTTTGGGATCTTCCCTGTTTCTAGCGACTTTATTTGGAAGCAATGATTGGCAGCCTTGAAGTGTGGCAGACATTGGGCGCAAAACAGCGTATACCACACTGAACTCTTTAACCCTATTCCTGGCGGGCTCCGCCGGGACAAGAAACTGGCGGGGGGGCCGATTCGGCCCCCCCCTGAGATCTTGAGAACGAAGCAAGATAGCGACAAACGGTAAACGGCATCGGATACGCACGGTCAAGATCTACAATTTTTACTAAGGTCATTTTCAGGTCAGGTCAAAGATGACGTCACAGGGGTCGATAAAGTCAAAATGGCGGCGCTAGATATGGAGAGTTTTTCTCGAATAACTTTCGAATTAGTCAAGATAGGAACAAACTAAGGGCATCATCGTGATCCTCTCGTCAATCCGCATCGAATGATATATATATGTTGACCTCGCAAGGTCAAGGTCAAAGGTTGACCTCAGGTCACGTGACCTCGAGGTCATCATGTATATCATTCGATGTGTCTTGACGAGCTGAACACAATGAGACCATCCACGCGTCTGTATCTTGTTCCTGTACGGAGTTATTGGCCAAAAACCTTTGGTGACCTTTGATGACGTCACATGACCTCACAGCTGCCCAACAGCAAAACAGACCTCAAGGTAGTGAAGGTTGATCGTATATGAAGTCATGTATGGTATATGGGGCCATTCCGACCCGTTTTAGTGGTAAAAACAGGGAGTTGATTTTTCCCCCCATTGACTTATAATGGGGAGGTCGCGAAACTGACCTGACCTTAGGTCACCGATATCAAAATTCCGAGATATACAAATTGCACATACTGGTACCCTAACTAAAGCCTGAAGAGAAGAAATTGATCGGTCAAAAACTCTAGCTCTGGCGTGATTGCAAACTTTTCTGAGGTAGGGTCACCAAACCGCCTCTGGTGACCTGACCTGAGGTCAGATCAACTCAAAATTTTAAGACATGTTGCGTAGAAGCCTTTTAGGAAAAGTCAGAAAATTTGAGCTTCCTAGCTCAACGCGTTTGGGAGAAATAACCAAAAAACCTCAGGGGGGGGGGGGGCTCCTGAGGCCCCCCCCCCCGCCAGGAATAGGGTTAATTTATAACACCACGTGTTAACTATGGTTTTAGTCTAAGATTTAAACATCATTATATCTCTGCTGACATCACAAATTCTAAGGGCATTCCAATGCATTAGCCCCTTAGAATCCAAAAATTGCAAGTTTGAAATTCCATAACTCCAAATTTAACATTTTTCGATGTTGTGAGTGCCCAAACTGGTTTTTGCAGGCCATGGCCACCAATTTGGCTATCTCAACTCAAAACTAATGTTAAGGTGGGATGGTCACTTTAAGGGGGAGGGGGCACTGCTGACTTTTGGTCCAATTCTTTCCATGCAACGACCATATTAGGAATAGGGCTAATGTTAAAATGCCAAAATCAAAGGGGGGCAGGGGGGCACAGTGCCCCGGTGCCTCCCCCCCCCCCCCCGTCGCCTAGGCCCAGTATAAACAAAGCCAGCTACCTACCTCTGGTCAGTGAAGTCACCTCTGGCATTATGTTTAGGTACCTACCCACTGTCTACCAACTCAACTCACCTAGTTGGCCTTTTTCCTTCTCACCCTAGATATAGGAATTGGACAGTTAGATGCCCAGGGCCAGGGGTGATAAGAAAATCCATCTTGCAAGCTTTCAAAAGCTACCAATAAAAACTAAAGGCTTTTGTTTTATTTAAAAGTTTTTAAAGTTTAAAGTTTTGAATAATTTTATTCCAGATTAATCTGTCCCAGCTCAACAAAACATCTTTTTTATAAATTTAGCTCAAATGTTTTGAATAGACGGATTAACAGAGCCGGAGTCCACGCTAAGCAGAGCTTGTTGCGTAGACTCTGACCCCTACCGTTCGATCGCGCCATTCCGGGTAACAAATCAAAAAACAAATCAAACAAAACAGATCATTACATTTTGATTACTTGTATTCTACCCTGAGCCCTGAGGTCTGAACCAACAGGATAGGTAACCTAACCTAACCTAACCTAACCCAATGAAACAAATGAAACCAAAGTTTACTAGCATCATAAGACATTAAGAATCCTCATTGCCCACAGTGCCCACTGGCCACTGCTAGCATCATAAGACACTCCTAGGCTCATGGATGCTTTAACAAGTTTGGTGGAGCAAGTGTGCGTGGTAGTGCAAGTTTGTTTGTGTGCAAGTGCACATCTTCTGGTGTCTGTTTTTTTTTTCTACCTGTATGGTGCCCTTACCTTGACACATTTTCCTTGACTGTGCCTACCTTCTATGTCTTTCCTTCTGGCCTTTCTCAGAATTTTATTTGCTGTTACTGCTGACATGTGCCCTGTTCTGTCCCTCATCTGGTCTGGGCTCTGTTCCTCCCAGCTGGGAAGTTTAATTGGAACATTCAGCATGGTCTTGATGTCTGACCTGCCCAGTCTAGTTAACCAAACTGTCCTGCCCTGCTCTTAATGACCACACCATTGATCAACTGTAGTCAGGCTGTTCTGTCCTTGCCTCTGCATATGTCTGTCTCGCCCCTGTCTTTGTGGGTACTGTCCTTTCCTGTTAAGTGTTACGATATGCCATGCTGATGTGTGCCCTGTTCCTTTTCTGCTTACTAAATGCTATTTTATATCACTTACATATATGCATGACCTAGGCATTGTGCCTGTTCCAGTTGTTCTGAAATATGAACTGTTGTGTTTAACAATTAGGTCTGGATAGTTACTGGTCTGTCATCAGTGCCTTACGCTGCAGATGAAGTTTATGATGTTGAATGGAAATCTGGACTCATGCCTAATTATAATTACTTTTATGCTTGCTTATTTCCACACCGTATATGGTAGATCACATATGTCTTTATATAACTATCCACCTAGCCAACCATATATGTACAGGGTGTCTCAAAAGTTCGTTGACACATTTCTCATGCCAATAAATCCTAAAAGAATCGGCCAAAAATCTAAGGTGTCTGTGTGTACACTAGACAAATATGCATGCATTGACAACTGATTCGGAAGGTTGGAAACCAAACTCTTTGCTGCATCTCCCAAAATATTTGCCCATACCGAATTCGTCGCTCCGTCAGCTGCCGGAGGCTGAAAAAAGGTTACCAGCTTTCAAGCTCTTGTAGGGGAATCCCCTGCAGTTTCTGCGTCGAATTTAGGTTTGACGAGCTCCCCGTTAACATCCTCTTCTCCCTGAAAGCCGACAGCTTGCATCGACACCATCCGTGAGTATTTTGTAGGTCTTCTCTGGCGCTAACTCCTTCATGAATGACTGGCGCCGACCTCCCAAGCACCATTTTCCTTTTTAAAACAAACCCATTCTTTAACAAATGGGAAGTGCCAGGGGCAATTTTTTTCGCAGCATATCGTAGCAGAATGCGTCGGCCATCTGTTCTTAGACACATTTGCAAATTTTGCAAATCCCAAACGCTCTTCATTCACCATGCCGAGACCTTCGCTGGGTTGCGGAGTGTTTCCCTCAGGAGAGGTTCTGCTTTGTAAACGGCCAAAACCTGTCCATCGTGCGGTTTTGTTGGGATTTTGTGTCTAAAAGAAAGTTATTTGCTCCAGATCTGCCTCTTGAAACCTCGTAAGATAAAACTTTACATTAAATGACACTTTTGGATGGTCAGTTGCCTTGGCATTGACGCTTTTCGTGTTATTTTTCCCAAAAATTTAGCGTTATAGATATTATAAACAAGTTCAAAATTATTTTTTGTCTTTATCTTATGATGACCTGCAATTTTTGAAACTGGGTAACCTCTGTCTGTGAGCTTCTAGTCAGTTTTCAATAGTTATGACCGCATTTTCAGCTGCTTTCCGGAGCACGAGTCTGCTGCCGTACGAAGGTCGTTCAAAACGCTGTTAGTCTCGCATGGTTTCGTCCTTCACAAATTTTAGCCACCGTTTTTATCAATATCAGATGATCATCATGCTGTACTCATCCTCGCCGACACTTTGCCATGTGTCATTTCCGACTTAACCATTCCCATTACTCCTGAATCAGAGAGTTTCTCAGCCGACCCGATTTTGCGACCTCCATTTTCATGCCTGACCCATGGTCAGAGGTGAACCCTTTTTGTGAGCTCATGAAGGGTCGAATGCGCTTGAAAACAATGCGAATGCTGGGGGAAGGCTGTTACCAATGCCCATGCAAAATTTCGACTGTTAATTTCTCGTTGATTCAGAATTATTGACAAAAAAGCATAGCTGGTACCTGTCAACGAACTTTTGAGACACCCTGTATATAGAAGTCTGTGGTTGGATCCATTAAGAATATCAGGCATCTGAGATAGGATATCAAGTTTATGGCAGTATGTTGCTGTTTTGTGTGTGTGTGTGGGGGGGGGGGGCGGCTTATCGTTAAATTTAATTGAGGCTTGTGCTGTGGGTATATTGTTGAAGAACCTTTTGATGTCTTCAAGGTCAATATCCACACCTGATATTAATCAATGTGTAACATACCTATTTGTTTGATCACCGTATGTTTTATTTCAGAACTAATTATTAAGTAAGATAAAAATTGGCTCGAGAAGAAATAAACTGTGTAGAACAGCTTGTCCTGGCCTGAGTCACTACAGTCAATAATGGCTGGGCGGAGATGGCGCAGTGGATGGATAGCGTTTTTCTGCCTGATATCAGTTTCCGGTCAGAGTGTAATTTTTGAGGATACAACCACGGCGCCGGACGACGAGCCTCAGTTGTCCGTACGCACATACGGCCAGCCTGTAAGGACGGGCGACTGGCTTGACACAGACCGAATGCGCCGCCTGCCGTTGAACGAAGTGGTGACGGACCGCGTCTCTGCGCGCCGCATGCACATGTACGCGGCGCGCTACACGGCCGGCGCCAGCGGTACGATGAAGATCCGAGTCAGTGCCATTGGTGATCCCTTGCCCTCCGCTGACATGCCGCTCTCAGTCAGCGTGCGAACCAGTGCCGGTGGGTACAGTTTCCCGCTTCCTCTACCTGCGGCGCGCCAGGACTCGAACGCGGCGCCAGCCACCAGTGTTTCCCGGATCATGTGTCCGTCCTCCGGGCGCGGTCGCGTGGACGCGCAGGACGCTTGCTTTGTCACGCTCGGTGTCGGCGGCGGCCCTGGGCCAGGCTATCGCGATGTGGCCTACGAATACGAGCTGCGCTTGTCTGTGCTGAACGCCTCGCGCTGGTTCTTGGAGACAGACGCGCCGCCTCGCCAGTTGGCTGTCGCCGTGGCTGCGCCGATCGTGTTCCAGTACCGCTGGCCCGATGACCCATCGGTGCGGATGGTGCGTGTGGGTGTGGCTAGTGGTGACGCGCCGTGCACAGCTGACTCTCGGCCATGTGCCGGCCCCATCTGCGATCCGGGCATGGAAGGTGACGTTGGTGCTTGCGCGTCGCTGGCGGTGCAGAGGCCAATCTGCCCGCTAACGCTGTCTGTAGGCGATCTGTTGGCGGCGGCGTCACGACACCTCACCTTTACCGCCTGCGCCACCACCGTGGTGAAGCGCGACGATCCCGACTTCGTCGACGGTTTCTTCGTCTCGGTGCTGCTGCATGAGGACGACTCTGTGTGTTATCCTGAAGGACGCCAGCGCAACGGCACAGCGTCGATCACGAAACCGGTGCGCGTCACCATCAGTCGACACGATGTCGCGTACGGGAACATCGCCATCCCTGTGGTGCTGGCCATCCTGTGTATGATCATCGGTGCGGTTAGCTTTTCCATCAGTACCCGTATTCAGGCAAGATTTGCCAGGAAAGCGAAGGATCCCCACTCGACGAAAGAACACCGTAGCGACGGCGAAGAGCTGGAAGAAGACATGGCGACGGAGGGTCGTCAGGCTTTGCAAGAAGAGCGCCCCGTGTCGGAACAAGTACCCATGTCCAGTAACCTGCGCCCGGCCACAGTGCTTCTCACGTGCGCTTTCATCATCGTTGCGTTCGGCGTCAACAGCGTAGCGACAGATGTGCGCAACGAACGCCGCTCGGGCAGTCTGGACACATGCTATCGCAATGACCTGTGTCGCACCGACGGCGGCACGGTACCTGACTTGAACCACGTGCTTTCTAACCTGCCGTACACGGGGGCCGGCGCCGGCTTCCTGTTCGCCGTGTACGCCCAGCAGCGTATGTATGCCGCCGCGCAGCGGGACGCCTCCGTACCCGTCGGTGTGCCGCATGACTTCTCACTGTTCGCCTCACTGGGCGTCGGTCTTATGCTCGAGGGAGTCACCAGCGGCCTGTATCACGTCTGTCCCAACAACCGCAACTCGCACATTGACTTTTTCTTCATCTACTATCTGTACGCAGCAATGGGCGCCAAGCTGTTTCAGACTCGTCGCGGTATAACGTCTCGGTTCCACTACACTCCGGCACTGCTGGTGGCCGGCATCACGCTACTCGGATCGCTGCAAGACTTGGTAAGCTCTGGCCGCGGTCTGTGGATTACCATCATGGTGATTCATATGGTGTGTGCCAGTATCTGGGCCTCGCTCATGTACCTGACTGGCTACGTAGGCTTCACGGCCTTCCGTCGCCGCCGGCGTCCGGTGGACCGGATCACCCGGCAGATAGCGGTAACACACTTGGTCCTAAACGTCACGCTGGCCATCGTCGGCCTGGCGGCGCCGTTCATCTTTTCCGACTTCAGCATGTACGCGCTACTGTTCTTCACGCTCAACTCGGGCTTGTACATCATCTTCTACATGCTGGCCAAGAAAGTAGGCTACCGCGAGAGCCCCTCCTGGCTGTCTGTGCTGTTCATGCTTCTGGGACTGGCTTGCATGGTGCCTGCACTAGTGCTTTTCGTTTTCTATAACCCGTACAACACGGTGGCGTCGGCAGCGCTCTCGCGCACCTCGAACAGACCCTGTTTTGCCGGCTTTTTCGACGCGCACGACGTGTGGCACTTTCTGTCGGCGGCGGCTCTCTTCTTCCTCCTGATGGGGATCCTGACTTTGGACGATGATCTGATGAAGACGCCGCGCAATAAGATACCCGTGTTCTGAGTGTCATATTTTTCTGATGAGATCTGGTTTCACTTTGTTGACCTTACCGTATATAAGTGAAACCGTTTCATCTGCTTCCAGACGTGGTCTCGGTGGGAAACTGGTTTGTAAGTGTCGTGTTTAAGGAACCATTTTAACATAGTTTTAATTGCGACATCTCCACATCTATGTCAGATCATCGTTGTCACTTTGATCTAACCGTTGGCGCTGTGAACTAGTTAGTGGCACCAGTCTACTTAGCGTTGTGCCTACATCTGTAGCCATGACATTGGCATCAGGTACGCTGTAAGAGTTGCTCATGTGACCAATTGGTTGCGAGAATGGCGAGCTTCGGTTGTGGAGCTGATGGCTTTCGGGACTGTATTTTCGGGTAAGGGTGCGGGCCGGGGCAAGTGTTGCTTTATGTCCATGAAATACGCGTGCTTTAAGCCGAGCTTGATTCGCATAATCAAATGTGATTCGCGAGCTTTTGCAAGCTTTTTGCTGAATGTAGGTGATATTTTTAAGCTGTAATATTACGTAATCTAGTTAGTTAGTGGTTACTGGTTCCTGTTCCCAACTGTTTTCTAGCCAAATGCGCTTACCGCAAGGCTTAGGTCTAGTGATTATGAATGCTTTAGTGCCTATATCAATGCGATGCGCAGTTTCGTCGCTCCTTGTCGACGCTTATGCGGAAACCGTTTTTGGATCTTCGGTGTTAATTTGGATGGACATGTGCTACTGGCTTCCGTGATTGTAAGGCGCTTATTGTTGCTGACTGTGCCCGCCTAAGCTCGTCCTTTTACACGATGGCGCGTGTACATTTTCCAATTAACCAAATGTCTGCGTCTCGCTCAGATCTCTGCGGAGAGCGGTGATATATACCTACTTATGTTTTGGGTGTGGCATATAATTACGGCCCCTTTACCGCCGTTAAAAGGCCTGCCGGCTGCCGACAGATAGAAGGCACCGCCTTTGCTCTGAATAATAGCAGATCTTAGCAAGATGTTTGGACACTAGGCTTACCAAGTCGTGTGCCTTACCTTACATCTGTGTGCCTTAAGTTTTTGTAAAAAAAAGTTTGGTATGGCGAAACGGGTAAATGCATCATTGAGCCTTTACCTGCTATTGGTTTTTCATACCTTGTAATTTGACCTAGTTAGCTATAGGTACCTACTCATTTGTCTAGCATTAAACTTGATGATCCATATCGCGAAACTGGATTATGAACCGGTTCTACATAGAAGAAGCACCAGCGCCGATGAATAGGTACGCTTGATATTGTGTTTTTTAGATACCTGTAAGATGCGAATCATTGGCTATTGCCTCATATCTTGTGGATTGATGATGCGCCATATGTAGGTGTGCTGTTTCTGCGCCTTCTATCAGCTTACGAGCTTGCTGCTTTTTACCGTGATCAATGGTCAAACGAAAAATATATAACAAATTGCCCGTCTGTAATTGCATTTTTCTTTATCTATGTGGTTGTGACTCGTGCTCGGGTCAAGTTAACCATCGCCCGGAAGGGGGGGGGGGGTGTTTCTGGCCACATCTGCCAGTTCTTTTTGCGCGTGTAAAGAAACTGAAAGTCGCGATAAATTTTCAATCAGCACCCACTTTTCTTCCGTGAAAAAGTGGTCAGAGCTACCAAAATTATGTTTAACCCGCGCCGTTCTCGTGGCCTGAGTTTTCCGTGTCGTGCTGGGTGGGGGAGGGGGCATTTTCACGTCCCCCGTCTAACTTGGCTCCTGGGCCACGTAGCGAAACGCAGTAAGCGGCATTCGAAAGAGCGTTAAAAATAATGGCAGAACTACTCAAGTCATTTTTAAGGTCAGGCCACCAGAGGTCATCAACAATGTCAAATTTAGTCCATTTCAATAACTTTGGAAACTGCCAAAGGCTAACTCGGGAACCAATAGGGCTACAGCGCCACGATAAAGCGCATTTGATAGCCCTTTTACATACCTTTCTGTCATAGGCGGCGGAACGATTTGAGACAAGGGGGGGCACCATGGCTCAAGGAGCCAAACCTAGGGTACCCCCAAATCCTGTTTTCTCATCGGATTTAGACCACTTATTTTTCGTCACAGCCCTGACACGATGATTTTTTTATTTTTTATTATTTTTTTTTTTTACTAAACGAAAATGGCAGTTCACCCCCGTATGCAGGGGTGTAATTTTATATCTCTTTGTGGGGGCATATGCACCCACAATCCTGAATTATGCCCCCACAATGATGAAAAAGCACCCACAAGTTTTTTACAAGGCTGCAAGCGTCCTTTCGAGAGCACGGTGCCCTTCGCATGCTCTAACGGCGTCCTCCTGACCGTCTCGCGTTCATGGATTATAGCGTTTTTAATCACTCGGCGCCCTTCTGGGAGAATGGCGCACTTTTGACAGCACCGCGCCATTCTCATGGTCTAACGGCGCCCTTCTGGCCTCTCAGCGCCCCTGAACCACATATAGCGTTTTCAATCACTCGGCACCCTTTTACGAGAATGGCGCCCTTTTCATGATCTCAAGGCGCCCTAGTAACCATCTGGCGCCCCCACGTCCCCACCAACGTAGCACTACTGACTGTGCGGCGCCCTTCTGGCCTCTTAGCGCCCCTGGACCACATAGCGTTTTCAATCACTCGGCGCCCTCCTAAGAGAATGGCGCCCTTTTCATCGTCTCACGGCGCCCTCGTAAGTCGTAACCGTCTGGCGCCTCCACATTTGGTGCCCCTCCTACTGGATGGCGCCTCTCTACATATTTTTTACGTCCTTCCGGTCAGTTTCCACTTTTAAGCGTGTATTTGCTTAGTCAGACACGTCACTTGAAGCGCCATTCGGCTAGCAATGTTATCAAATTCGGTGTTAATTTAGGCTCCCACATAAAGAATATCTATCGCGCCCCAAAACGGCCTGGCGCCGGGCGCCCCTACAGCTGGGCACCCACAATCATTTTAGGAAAATTAGGTACACCCCTGCCCGTATGTGTGGTTAACTGTAAGCTGATCCTCAAGTACCAATGTGTTTGTCTCTTCCTTATTGTCGTTTGATAAATTCCATTTATCCTACATGTATAATTCCCAAGAAGCCATCGCAGTACTAATCAGTGGCGAATCCCAGGGTGGAGGTAACATGGGTCATGACTTAGGGCCTGGGGTCACCACATGCCTGCCAGGAGCACCACAGGCCTGAAAGCCGACAGGGGCACCACAGGCCCGCCAGGGGTGCCAAAGGCCTAGCCGGGGCACCACGGGCCTCTCAGTGGCACCACAGGCCTGTCAGGAGCACCATCGGCCCAGAAAAAGCACTACAGGTCTTCCAGGGGCACCACAGACCTGCCAGGGGCACCAGAGGCCTGTCAGGGACACTATCGGCTTCGCAGGGGAACCACCGGCCTCGCAAGGGCACCATGGGCCTGTCAAGGGCACCACAAGCCTGTCGTTGGCAATTTAGGATTGTCAGAGGCACCACAAACCTGTCAAGGGCACCTGCGTTCTAACAGGGGCACCACAAACCTGCCAAGGCCCAGGGACACCACAGGCCTAGCAAGGACACCACAGGCCTGTCAGGGGCACCACGGGCCTCTCAGGGCCCATGGGCACCTAAGTCATGTCAGGGCCCACCGTAGGCTTGTCAGGGGGCAGGGTAGGTAGGTACCACAGTCTTTCCAGGGGCACCAGCGGCCTAGCAGGGGCACCAGTCATCACATGACTAACTAAAAATAAAGAAAAAGCTGAAAATAGGGCACCACCAAAATTAAGTGACCGAAATCCGTTGAGGTTTTAATTTTGGGCATAGGTAGGGGCACCACTTCGATTCATGACCCTCCCCTTGGAGTTTTCCCGAATCCGCCCCTGGTACTACATCAAATTTAAGGGGGGGCACCTTGCTATTGGTGCCCCCCTTGCAGAATGCAAGGGGGGGGCACGGTGCCCCGGTGCCCCCCCCCCCGTTCCGCCGCCTATGCTTTCTGTGTCTTCTTCTAAAATTTGACCTAAGGTCGACGGTTTAGCCTCCAGACCAGAGGGCGAAAACTAAAGCAGTTTTCACGAAAAAATGTTTTTTTCGGTACTAACCTTTGGCTCAAGAGAGCCAAGAAAATACTTTTGCCAGCATCGTGTTCCTCTCGTCGAAACCCGTCCAATAAACTATGAGTTGACTTGACCTTGATAGTTCATTTTAAAAATCCGTATCGTCGAGCTGAACACATCTGACATATTTTCACCGTTCTCGCACGTCTTTATCAAAAGTTAGGTATAGTAAAAAAAAATTGCTGGTGAACTTTCATTACCCGAGATAACCTCAGGGACACACAGAGCGGTTACAGGTGCAATTTTCCGATTCAGCGTGTCATGTTCACTTATGAACAGACCCGCGCACCGACGGGGGTCTGCGCCAACTTAGAACCGACGGGGGGAGGGGGCGGATGACCCCCCCCCCCCCTGAGATGATCTCGAGATTCGAGAACGAAGCAAGATAGCGACAAGCGGTAAACGGCATGGGGTACGCACGGACAAGATCTACAATTTTTACAAAGGTCATTTTTGGTCAGGTCAAAGATGACGTCACAGGGGTCAAAAAGTCAAAATGGCGGCGCTAGATATAAAGATAGTTTTTTCTCGAATAACTTTCGAATTGGTCAAGCTAGGAACAAACTAAGTGCAACATCGTGATTCTCTCGTCAATCCACATCGAACCATACCGGTACATGCTGACTTCGAAAGGTCTAGGTCAAAGGTTGACCTCAGGTCACGTGACCTCGAGGTCATCATGTATATCATTTGATGCGCCTTGACGAGCTGAACACAATGAGACCATCCGCGCGGCTGTATCTTGTTCCTGTAAGGGGCTATTGGCAAAAAATCTGTGGTGACCTTTAATGACGTCACATGACCTTACAGCTGCCCAACAGCAAAACAGCCCTCAAAGTAGCGAAGGTTGATCGCATATGAAGTCATGTATGGTACATACGGCCATTCCGAAGCGTTTTAGTGAAGAAAAAAAACAGGGAGTTGACTTTTCCCTCATTAAACGCCAATCGAAAGACCTCATCATGAACAACTAAAAACATGTACTTAATTTAAAGTTTGAGGTCAAGGTCAAGGTCAGGTCAAGGGTACAAATTGCAAGTTTCTACAGTATCGGCCTTGCACCGTAGTTGCCGAAGAATGGAGTCATGGACTGAGATTGATTGCCCAAAACGTGTTCTTAGGCTACCAAGACAATATTCGTTGCATACAATATCATTCAGAGGTCAAGGTCAAGGTCAGGTCAGGTCACCAAAAACAAAATATAGAAAAGGGCATGTGCGACACATGTTTTATGGGTCATTTTATTCATAGAATTCAATAGGTACACTCAATAGGTGACATGGACCACATCTGGATGAATTTCAGGTCGAGGTCAGGTCAAGTGTGGTCAAATTTTGAAGTTGGTTGTTAAGGCCTAAAAAGGTGTCTATCTGATGCAGTTTTTCACGGCGAATCGAATGGAGCTATTTTTGTTTCCGTACGAGGTCTAGAACTTTCAAAAAATTATTAAAAAAAAATTGTTTGTCGTGACGTCATAAAAATTTGAATAACTCCCTCATTTTTGAACCGATTCTTCTAGAAATTGTTATGCAGGTGCACATGGACCACTTCTCTGACATATGTTCCGTTTTTTTTTTATACACGCAACATTTTGGATTTTATAATATTTTCCAAAAAAGTCAGTTAAAAAAATTGGGGCAAAATCAAAAAATTTCAAAAACAGAGATAGCCATTTGATAGACAAAGTAGAATCACATATAACCTTTTTTGTTACGTCTTGATTCCCTTAAAAATGAAGATGTTAGCGGCGTTCGAAATTTTGCCGTTTTTGAGATATTGCAAAAATTCGCGAGGGGGGTAAAATTTACCCCCCAGCCCCGCGCGGGTTAAGCTAACATCGTAACATGTTGAACGAAAGATAGTTTGTCATATGCAATGCACAGACAACCCAGAATAACACTCGAAAAAAAAAAACAAGTTTTAATTTGGTGTTCAGCCAGCACAGCCCAACCGACCGCCACAAAAGGGTTGCTGAGGCTCCCCATCGTTGCACGACACATAGAATCAAAAGGTAGAAAACGTGCAAGGATGCTGTCCATTTTTTAATTATTGACGTGTCCCTATTCTCCTGCGTTCCAGTTCTCCCGCCTCTCCCCTATAGGGGAGAGTCCGGGGTAATTTGGCCGTTTTTTTTTAGAAAACGATGTAACTAAAAATCGACAACACATTTCTGCATTTTCTCAACGCTGACAGGTGTGGCATACATTTTACTTTCTTGGACAGTAAACTTGAAATGATAGAGTAACTACTTATATTGAAATTGTGACGTATTACAAAGGTCTGCAAAGCGGCCAAATTGCCCCACTAGCAGGGTTATTTGGCAGGGGGTGTGGGGTAATTTGGCCGGTGTTAGTTTGAGGCCATGATTTTTG